GCAGGAAGAAGGGTCTAGGCCCGAAATGTCAGCTTTCCTGCTCCTCTGATGCTGCTGGGCCTGCTGTGTTCATCCAGCTCTACACCTTGTTATCTCAGATTCTCCAGCATCTGCAGTTCCTACTATCTGTGAAGCAGTTTACTGCGCAAGTTTGCTTACTGAATTTGCTACTTATGTTCTGTTTCAGTTCAAAGATTCCTTTGTTTACAGTATGTTCTATTGTCATTCCATACAAACTTAATTGATTCAAAAATTCCGCTATTCAAGGTGATCATGGCTGATCTTCTACCTCAATACTAAATTCCCACTTTTTCTCCATACCCCTTAAAATAACTACAATCAGGTCAATATCTGACATTGTATCTGAAAAAAAAAATCACAAGTCATATTTCTTCCTTATGTTTTACTTATTCTGGTGAAAAGAATGATCTTCCTTTTCATTTAAAGCTTATTGCGTTCTTTATTTAACTCCCTTTTTCATATGGTACTTTGAACTCTATCTTTTCATGCTGGGCAGATGCTAAATAATGAACTGCAAATGTGAAACTGTTTTGGTGGAATTTCTGTATATTGGTGGATGAAGTAGTTTTATTAGCACCGACTGAACAGTGTTTAATGCTCTTTATTTTAGTGCTGGACTTAGTATTAATATTTTGTGTAGATACTGTTGCAGTGAAGGAAGCTGAGAAAGTGACTGCTCCAACAGAGATGCATTCTCCTGTTATGAAAAGGGTGCAGGTGAGTAATGCAATCTGTGGAAAATCTTTATCATAAATCATACATTGAAAGCTAATTGTTTCTCTCTCCACAAGTGCTGCCAGACCTGTTGAGTATTTCCAGCAGGCTTTGTTTTTATTGCAGATTTCCTGCATTCAAATTTTTTTGTCTTAGTTATTTAATAGTTTAAAGTTGATACATGTGCACAATATCTTATCAAATTATCATCTTGCATTTTGCTTTTTGACTCTTTACTTGGTACAGGTCCTTGAGTGCCAGCAGCTGCCAGTCTGTTTAATCCTATTCAATGCAGAAACTTGGAAACCAAGTGGGTCTATCTTGTTTTACCATATGTAATTAGTCCACTATATATAAAAATTTAGAACAGAAGTAATTGAGTAGCAGGAGTTAAAGCATAGCAAGATCTTTTATTTTCTCAATCTTCAAGTCCAATAGCATTGAAAAAGTCTGTAATTTCCCCAAATGATATGGTTTAACTCAGTCCAGGTCAAGAATCAAACCTGTGCTTTCTGGTCTATTTGTGTTAGTACCACACCACATGATAAATTTATCTGCTGAACTAGTGGGAGAAGTGGCATTCCTATTTTCTGCTGAAAGTATCAGCTGTGCAAGCAATGTCAAATATTGACCTGATTGTAGTTATTTTAGTGGGGTTTGGAGAGCAAGTGGAAATATAGCACTGAATTAGAGGATCATCCTTGATCGTCTTGGATAGCAGAGCAGGATCGAAGGACTGGATGCCCTAGCCTTGCTCCTAGTTTCTGTGTTACGTTGCACCCCTAGGCAGATGGGACTTGAACCCAGACCTTCTGACTCAAAGATATGAATACTACTTTACTGCATAACAAGCCCCTTTTGACCAAATTGTGTGCTTTCTTAAAAATTTGAAATAATCCAACAATTGTCTTGCAATCTGGAAAGACTGCGGCTGCTTTAGAAGACTTTGGAACACCAGCATGCTAAACTGCTTCATTCCTTTGCGAAGTTGGACCACAGCAATTAATCTAAGAATGAAAACAAAGTACTGGAAATGCTCACCAGGTTTGGCTGTGTCTGCGGAGAGAGAAACAGTTAATATTTTGAGTTGAATACAGCTCCTTTTCAGAAGCCATCAGTTTAGGGACTTGCAGTCTTGGGATTAGAATTGGTCACATCACTTAACCCAGGCCTGAGGGTTTCAGAAATTTCTCCAATCCTAGTTACAGGATGTTACATCTTCAATAGTGATTGCATTACTGGAAAACATTTGAGGATTTCCTTAAGTGCTGGCAACTTGCTTTTTGCAGAGTGTTGACAGCCATGTCTTTATCTTCTCTAGTACAAGTTTAGAGCATCTGTGCCAAAACCTAACAACAAAGGATATGTTCCTCAATTTGCCAAAGTGAGGTACGCTATTTTTTTTGCTGCAGACTAATAGCCTTGGTACAGCACTAAAGAAAGCAGTATTAACTGAAACTGAACTTTCTTGAATTTCATCATACCCAAATGTAATATTGGATCTAAGTAGTGAGATTGAATCGCATCCCAGCTGTCTAGAAGTTTCATGTTTGATTTTTATATAGGATGAATTTTGTAATGTTTATAAAGCTTTTGCGAGCAGTGTTTCTTCATACTGTGTGTAACTGTGACGACGATGTGGCTTTCAAGAGGTTAATTTGTCCTTTGTTTTTGAAAAGAGTTTGTAAGGCAGAAGTATCGAGCTATCTCTGAGAAAGTAAACAGCTTATGAGACCTTGGGTTTTTAAGTTGGAAACAATGGAGCAGCCTGGGTGTAGCCAGCTGTCTCAGACCAAGCTTTCTAGTTTTTTTTTCCATTTTTAATTTTAGCTTTAAGCAGAAGCTATTGAGGTCTTAATAGAGTTGGAAGCTTCAGCAAATGTTTCTTAGTTACTGCTCTCTCTGACTTTTCTCTTGATGTTTTTTCCTCCGATTGGAGAACTGCATGTGAGAATCTGAATCCCCTTTTTGGCCAACGGGTGTGAGATGTTACTATATTGGAACAGTTAATTACTAATAGTTACTGTATCTATTATTCTGTTAAGTTTTCCAACAGAGTTATGTTGTTTTAAGTTTCTCTTTCTTTGGTTGTATTTGAACTACAGTGTTTAAATAAATTGTGTTTTGCTTGATGTCAAGTAGTTTAACCCCCCAGTCGCATTTGCATCTGGGACACTTTATGTTTGCCTTTAAAATAAGAAAAAGTTAGGATCTAGACTACCTTCTTCAAATATTTTGAGGGGTCTGGTCTGGTCCATAACAGTAACTTTTGTGAAGTTAGAACTGCTAGGCTTTGTACATAGGTTATGGTCAACAAACAATTTTTGATGTCGACTATTTGAAAAGCTGAGATACTGTCACAGAAACCAACAACCATTGCTACGGATACAGTGTCAGCAATGTTAGGATCAGATAGTAGGTTTGTGGGTTTTTGTAAAACAAATTCTGGGCATTTCACTGCATTATTCATCAGGAGCAGTACCTCTATTTGAAACTGGTTATGAAGATTGTTTTGGTAACTGAATTAACACTGAAGTTTATGGGGCTATCGATGATACAAATATCTCGGCCAAGGGCCCAGCAATTTCTTCCCTTGCTTCCCATAAAATTCTGGGAAACACCAAATCAGGTCCCAAGGATTTATCTACCTTTTTAAGCGTTTTAAGACCTCCAACACCACCTCTTCTGGAATATGAACTCTTTTCAAGACATCGCTATTTATTTCCCCAAGTTTCCTATCTTCCACACCTCCTTCACGGTGAACACAAGCAAAATACTTGTTTAGTATCTTCCCCCATCTCCTGCAGTTCCACACACATGTGGCCTTGCTGATCTTTAAGGGGCCCTAATCTCTCCCTAGTTACCCTTTTTTGTCGTTGATGTATTTGTAGAATTCCTTTGAATTCTCCTTAACCCTATTTGCCAAAGCTATCTCATGTCCCCTTTTAGTCCTCCTGATTTCCCTCTTGAGCATGCTCCTACTGCCTTTATACTCTTATAGGGATTCACTTGATCCCAGCTGTCTTTACCTGATGTGCCTCTTTTCTTGACCAGAGTCTCAATTTCTCTAGACATCCAACATTCCCTACACCTACCAGCCTTGCTCTTCACCCTAGCAGGAACATAGTATCTCTGAACTCTTGATATCTAATTCTTCAAGGCCTCCCACTTCCCAACTGTCCCTTTACCTGCAAATAGCCTCCCCAAACAACTTTAGAAAATCCCTGCCTAATACTGTCAAAATTGGCCTTACTCCAATTTAGAATTTTGACTTTTTGATCAGTTCTATCCTTTTCCATAATTATTTTAATACCAATAGAATTATGATCACTTGCCCCAGAGTGCTCCCCCATGGACTACTCCATCACTTGCTGTGCCTTACTTCCCAACAGAAGGTCAAATATTACTCCTTCTCTAGTAGCTACATCCACATATTGAATAAGGAATTTTTCTTGTACACACTTATCCTCCCCGTTCAAGCCCTTAATACCATGATAGTCCCAGTCTGTTGGAAAGTTAAAATCCCCTACCATTACACCTCTATTTTTCTTACAGATGCCCGAGATCTCCTTACATATCTGCTTCTCAATTTCTCACTGACCACAATCCTAACATGGTGATCTTCCCTTTCTTATTTTTAAGCTCCGCCCATATAACTTCACTGGACAATCTCCCAAGAATATCCTCCCTCAATACAGCCGTAATGTTATCCCGAACAAAAAACACCACTCCCCCTCCTCTCCTGCCTCCCTTTCTATCCTTCCTATAGCATCTGTATTGTGGAGCATACCAGTCCTGTCCATCCCTGAGCCATATTTCTGTAAGAGCTAAGATATCCAAGTCCCGTGTTCCCAACGGTGTCCTAAGTTCATCTGCCTTACCTGTCCGGCCTCTTTCATTGAAATAAATGCAGTTTTTGTTGGTCTTGCCTTGTTCTCTGTCAAGCTCTTATCTGCCTTTCTGGTCACCCTTCTATAGGAATGACGTTGTTATACTTGAGAGGGTGCAGAAAAGATTTACAAAGTTTTGCCGGGACTGGAGGGTTTGAGCTATAGGGAGAGACTGAATAGACTGGGGCTTTTTTCCCCTGGAGCGTCGAAGACTGAGGGGTGACATTATAGAGACTTACATAATCGTGAGGGCATGGATCGGGTGAATAGCCGAGATATTTTTCCCAGGGTAGGGGAGTCCAAAGCTAGAGGACATAGGTTTAAGATGAGAGGGGAAGGATTTTAAAAAGGACAAGAGGGGTAACTTTTTCATCAGGGTGTTGTATGTATAGAGCAAGCTGCCAGAAGAAATGGTGGAGGTGAGTATAATTATAACGTTTGAAAGGCATCTGGTTGATTATATGAATAGGAGAGGTTTAGAGGCATATGGGCCAAATGCAGGCAAATGGAACTTGGTCAGAAATGTCTGGTTGACATGGATGAGTAGGACTAAAGGGTCTTTTTCTGTGCTGTATAACTCAATCTAATCAACCCTTCAAAATGATGATAAATTACTCTTGAGACCTGGTCCTTCTCTGGCTTCTGAATGAAATGTGATTAGAATCGTAGAGATGTATAGCACAGAAACTGACACTTCGGTCCACTCGTCCATGCTGACCAGATATCCTAGATAAACCTAGTCCTATTTGCCAGCATTTAGCCCATATCCCTCTTAAACCGTTCCTATTCATATACCCATCCAGATGCCTTTTAAATGTTGTAATTGTACCAGCCTTCACCACTTCCTCTGGCAGCTCATTCCATACACTGCATGAAAAGTTGTCCCTTAGGTCCCTTTTAAATCTTAACACCCCCTCACTATAAACCTATGCCCTCCAGTTTCTGACTCGCCCATCACAGGGAAAAGACCTTGTCTATTTACGCTATCCATCCCCCTCATGGTTCTATAAACCTATATAAGGTCATCCCTCAGCCTTTAATGCTCCAGGGAAAATAACCCCAAACTGCTGAACTTCTGTGAAGAGGGAATGCTACTGCCTGAATTGACACATCTCCACTGGCTTTTAGATCTGTTCTCTTTAGTGGAAGTATTGTTATATCAGGAAAAAATAAGTCAAGGAAAGATAGAGGGTGTGTGAACTTGACAGCGTTAGTTTGTTATTAAGAAAATTAAGCTATTTAAGCTCGCTGCCAGAGAGGTGAACTGATAAGCTTCCTGTTTATTATTGAGGGCTGTGGAAATAGTGATACAGCAAACGACACTCTGAGCTACAAACATTGCACAGTCCTTTTTCTCTGCATTTTCAGGTTGAGTAGATTGAAGGTTTGGAGCCAAAAATGTCCTTGCATTAGATTTCTGGGCACCCCATTTTTCTTATTGTTCAATATAGCACCAAAACATGTAACCAGTTAACAGATCTACTTTTGCTGATCAAATTTACATTTGCATGAGCTCATAGTACGAGGATTTGGGAGTAGCCGATTTTGTTTTGAGCAAGAGATGTTGAAGGGATTTTAAAGAGAATGTTTTTATGTAGTGAATAATGATGAACTGGATCTCATTGCCTATGAGTGTGATGAAAGAAGAGGCAATTACAGATATCACATGGAAATTGGATGGTCATTGAAGGAAATAAACTTGCAAGGCCACAGTAATTAAAAAAGCAAGGGGATTGGAATGATTGGTTTGCAGTACAGGGCACTAGAATGAACTTGATGGTCTTTTGTGTGATAATGATTCTGTAAAACTCTTGCACAATGTTTCATGCGTATCTGACAGAAAATTAGATTTCTGACAGAAAAAGATTTAAAAAAATAGTGAGAAACAAAATATAAAATGCTTACAATGCGCATTGCAAGGATACTTTGTTTGCAGTGATAATCACAAGCAAGGTACCCCACCATTGAGAAAACATTAGGCCACCCTTTCTAATATCACCTTCCTTACCTGTCTACATTTAAAAAAATGCCTCTGAAATGCTTTGGGATATTATTTATAGTTTTAGGTGGTATGAAAATTCTTGCTGTTTTTTGTAATGCTACCACTATTGGTGGTTTATTATTTGTCAGAAATAATTGAACTTATTTTAGCTTTGGCAACTTCTTGTACTTCCTGGAATTAAAGAATGATGGCCATACGTGGTTCATCCAAGTAAGTCTGTACAACTTGTTATTACAGGAGATCTTCTAGATTTCTTGTGACATTTTGACTTATTTGGTTGCATTGGTTGAAGTATGGAATAGGTGCTGTTTGAAATTGTGGTGTCAATAAGTGACATGTTGTTATGAGGAAAAATATGGAGCAGTCACAATCCATCCATTGAAACTGTTCTCTTTCAGGCAGACCAGCTGAATTTTCCTCCAACAGCAGCTTCCACTCCTGTCAATCAGCCTGAAGCACCAATAATCCCAATTGCTAAAAATGAGCCCATTGGATTGAAGGTGGCAGACTTTCTCCCAGTAAGTGGTGTTTAGTCACTTCCCTTCAGTTAATTTAAATTTTCTTTGTAGTTATATTTTTTCTGTTCAGTGCAAACTCTTTATCTGAATGGCAACGGTAATATTACAGTTGATTCTAACTTTCTGGATGAGATGGCATGAAATAAACTCGTGGTCCTTCTGATCAATATTCAGTAATTGGTTTGCGAGGCTTTGGTGGTCCAATGAGGCTAGAATACAGCTCAGCTGGTTTTTCTGAACCTTACTGCTTGGATCTGTACACTAATAGTAGCTTGCAAGCTGTGTGTGTGTGTGAATCTGTGTACTTAAAGACCATCTGGGTAAGAACTTCAGGTAATTGGAGAATAAAAATGGTGACCGAGACCCTGAGTAGATCTTTAGTCATACAAGCTTATCCTGCCCATGAATAAAACTCCCAATTCCTGAAAATGTTTAGTCTGCCAGGTAATGTATTCTTACAGCTAAAGGCTTTGAATGATATGAAACTGCATATTTGCATTTCTTATCGCATTTGAGAATCTCAGCGCCTTGCCTGAATTGCTTTTGAAGTGTGGTGGTTGTTATCTAAGGAAGGAAACAACGATCTGAATTGTAACTGCAGAACAAGGGTCACTAGATAGTGCATATTTTTATAAGGGCTATTTTGCTAGTTTTTCTCTTGTGCAGTCTGTAGTTGGTAGTTTTGTTATGTGGTAATTGCTGTAAATTATGATGGGAGAAACCTGGAGTAGAGGTTTCTGTCAGTCTGGCAAATCAAGTGTCTGTTTTCAAAAACAGAAATTGCTGGAGAAACACAGCAAATCTGACAGCATCAGTGGAGCAAGTGAAGAAGGTCACTGGACCAGAAATGTTAATTCTGTTTTGTCCCCACAGATGCTGCCAGATCTGAGTTTCTCCAGTAATTTCTGTTTGTGTTTCATAATTCCAGCATCCACTGTTCTTTGTTTTATTTAAATGTCTATTTTATTCCATAACTTATTCTGATTTACAGTTATTGTAATCAACCTGTTCAGACTTGTTATAACATACCTCAAAACCCAGGCATTCTGGGCACTACCACTGCACCATAGGAGGCCTCAGAAGATAACGAAGTCTTTGAATGTCAAAGTACTAGGATAATTTGTCTTTAATTATATCATATTTCTTAAGCCTCAGAATAATAAACTGGCTGATTTGAGTGATGAAGATGCTGTGAGCCAAATCCGGAAAGGACATGACACTATGTGCGTGGTATTAACGAGTCGATTCAAGAATCTAGACACTGTGAGAGCTGTGTGGACCACTGGCGATGTCAAGGTCAGATTTTTAACTTTTGATACATATACTCTTGAACAATGGAGTAATACTGAATGTATAACCTGCAGGATCACAAATTAATTATCTCTTCTCTCCCACCCTGTTCTCTTCCACTATTTGATAGGATTCATTGGTGCAATGGTCTAGTCAACATTTGGTTTTCTAAGTTGTCAGCTGATTCCTACCACGGACCTCTACTGTGTAGCTACAGTCCAGATGCCATTGATATATACGTGCCATAACCTTTGTTCACTTCGCAGTTCACCAGATTTAATCTGGGTTTTATGTTTATGGAACTCTTTATGGTTGAACTAACTTCTGACCTGTTGACCTATGACCCCCACTGCATTGCATTTTAAGTGATCTGAACAAAATCTGTATTATTCTTCTCAGTTGAGAATTTAAAGACCAAAACCACTCTTGGGTTGCAATTATGAATGTAACCCCCAAAAATGTACAGTTGATAGCATGAAATGGTTTACCTTGAGGGAATAAACCAGTTGTAAAATGATATACTTACCTTTTGTGATTAAAGCATGTGATTGTTACATTGAATTAGTAGTAGATTAGGTTTGATGGAATACGTAAAATATTCTTGCATTTACACAAATGTAAGTTTTGGTCATCGGAACTTATACAAGACTCTTAGCATTATTTTGACAAAGTGCTAGAAGTGGCATAACATAATACCAAGAATGGATTTGGATTCATGCCCAATAAACATGTATGTTTGATAAAGTGCCAGTTTACAGGCTTGTTGACAAAGTCAAAGGTACTGGAATAAAAGGGAGAGTGGGAGCATGGGTACAAAGTGCCTGAGTCACAGGAAACAACCAGACGTGAATGGTTTGGACTGGAGGAAAGTATTTAGTGGGATTTCCTAGTGTTAGAACGACTGCTTTCCTAGGTCTACAGGAAATGATGTCAAAATGTTCAGATGGTGCAAAACTGGAGGAATTTTACCGAGTGGAGAATAGTGATTAAATTCAAAGGGACAAGGACAGGAAAATTGTCTGTGTGGACAATGTGACAGCTGAAGTTTAATGCAGGGAAATGTAAAGTGCCATTTTGATAAGAGGAACGAAGCTCAATTCTAAAACTGATGTGTGGTTTACGTGCAAGTATCATTGAAAGTCGTAGGGCCAGTTGAGACAACAGTTAAAGCAAGGAGATGATGATTAATCATTCTGAAACATTGCTTAAGACTCAGCTGGTGTATTGTATCCACTTCTAGGCACCACAGACAGCTTTGAAAATAGTGTACAAAAGATCTAGGTGACTAATTCCAGGGATGAGGGGCTTGAGTTGGGTGGATGGATTGGAGAAACCAGTGGTGTTCTCCTTAGAGAAGAGACAATTGAGAGGAGATTATTGATAGAGATATTCCAAAACCTGAGGGATCAGGAGAGAGAAGATGAGGGCAAATTGTGTTTGGTGAAAGAATAGTTGAATACCAGAGGATAGTGATTTGAAGTGAATGGCAAAAGAACCAAAAGCAGCATAAGAATGTTCTTTCTACTGCAAGTAGATACAATCTAGAATGAAGTGCCTGAGAGAATGGTGGAGTGGAGGCACATTCAATTGTGGCTTTCCGATGGGAATTAGAAAATGCTTTTAGAGCAATGAGGAAGTGGGCAGGAGTATGGGACTAGTTAATTGCCAGAGAACCGGCATAGACAGAATGGGCCAAGTGTCCTGTTTCTGCATAGCCATTCTATGATATGGCAAATGAGAATGATGGCACCATGGGAGATCCACTACTTGCAGTGCCTATTAGGAGCCATGGGTGAGAGAACCCTCACTTTCTCCTAAATTTTATTATTTTTCTCACTCCAGCCTTTAAACAGCTTGGTTTATTTGCTTCCTGGATTTATAAGCCAGGAATTCTGAAAAGCAATATTGCTGTGCAGTTATATTCTTAATATGTTTGCATCTCTTTGCCCTCCACTAGAATGAGAGATGATATTTTTAATGTGGTACAGCTTTGTTTGCTGTTGTTTTACAAGATTATTTTATAATTCAGCCTTTCCAGTTTGAATGCTGAAATTTTGGCTGATTAAAACTGACTTCTGTTTGGCAGAAACATTCATAATACCCATTTCACCATCACAGGCAGAGACAAGGCCACTTTTGTCAAAAACACCTGCTGAGAGCAAATTGATCTTGCTGTCATGACCTGTTTTTAAAAAAACTACATATTCTGACCATGATTTCAAATGCACACTGTGATACCCATCTTTTCATTGCAGACCTCCATAGACTCAGCAGTGACCATGAATGACTTGGCAGTTATTGTGGACATCCTGAATATTATAAATCTCAAACCGTACGTACTTGCTCAAAAGACTGTCCAATCTTTGGTTTGTCAAGGAGTATTGTCTGCAATAGTTCCACATTGTTTAAAATTTTAAGGATTACTTCATAGGAGCTAATTAATGCTCAAAATTGATGCCAAGCCATTCGGAAGTAAAATCAGGAATTACATTTTAAGAAAATGGATGTTAGAAATCGGGAATCCTATGCCCTTCCAGGACTCTGGATGTTGGGGCATCGAGAGCCTTCAAGACGGCATTTCATAGATTTTTGCATTCCTAATGTGGAAATATATTGCAGTTGCTGGAGTATCATGGGTCAAAATCCTGGAACTCCCTCCCTAACGGCATTGTGGGTCTACCTACATCACATGGACTGAAGTTGCTCAAGAAAGCAGCTCACCACTGCATTCTCGAGGTCTACCAGGGACAGGCAATAAATGCTGACCCAACCAGCAACAACCTCCTCCCATGAATGAGTTTGTTAAAAATCTGGTGGCGGGCAAAATAGAGACGAAATATAGGTTAGCCAAAATCTAATTTAACACTGGTAGAGCTGACTCATGTCTGAATTGATTCTTGGTGGTTGCTGCTTTATTTTACATATTGATTGTTTATTGATTATTGTTGTGTACAAACGCCTTATTACATCATGATTCGTCCTGTATATTCTGAATCTAAGACAGCTGATTATTATTTTCTGACCAATACTTTTACTGTCCTTTATATGCCAAAAATAAGATGGAAGCATTTAGGCTGGAGTAACATGATTCCTGCATCTTGTACCAGATCTTCTCTGACTGGTGTTTAAATTTCCTCCTTTTCTCTCATCCATATCAATGGCCATAAGGTTTAATTCATGTCTGATGCCACATCACCTGTTTTCAGCACTTAGAGCTTAGAATCTATTTCATTCTCCTCTTTCATAGAGTTATAGAGTCATATAGGACGGAAACAGATCTTTCGGCCCAATTCGTCCATACCTTCTAAATGTTGTAATTATACCAGCCTGCAACACTTGCTCTGTCAACTCGTTCCTTACACGCACCACCCTCTATGTAAAAATGTTGCCCCTCAGGTCCCTTTTAAATCTTTCTCCTCTCAACTTAAAATTATGCCGTCTAGTTTTGAGCTCCCCTGCCTTGAGGAAAAGACCTTAGCTATTCACTTCCTATTTATTATCTATGCCCCTCATAGTCTTATAAACTGCTATAAGACCACCTCTCAACCTCCTGTGCTCCAGTGAAAAAAGTCCCAGCCTATCCAGCCTCTCCTTTTAACTCAAGCCCTCCAGTTGCAGTAACATCCTTGTAAATCCTTTCTGCACTGTCTCCAATTTAATAGTCTCCTTTCCATAGCAGAGGAATCAGACCACCACAGTGCCTCAACAACATCCTGTACAACTGCAACAATCAAACCCCTATACTCCATGGTCTGAACAATAAAGGGAAGCATGCCAAATGCTGCCTTTACCACCCTGTCTACTGTGACGCAACTATCTACCTGAACCCCTCTTCGACAGCATTCCCCAGGGCCCTACCATTAACTGTAAGTCCTGCCGTTGTTCATCTTACCAAAATGCCACGCCTCACCTTTATCCAAATTAAACTCCATCTGCCATTCCTTGGCCCAATTGATCAAGATCCCTTTGTAATTTTAGATAACCTTCTTCACTGTCTATTATACCACCAATTTTGGTGTCATTTATCAGAATCCCCTCCAACAACTTACCCGCCACTGACATCAGATTCACTGGTCTATAGTTCCCAGTCTTCTCCTTGCAGCCTTTCTTAAATAAAGGCACAATGTTAGCCACCCTCCAGTCTTCTGGCAGCTCTCCACAACATTCTGAGATATATTTGATCAGATCCTGGAGATTTATCCGCTTTTTTTTTTAAGACCTCCAGCTTCTTCTGTAATGTGGACTATTTACAAAACATCAATATTTATAGTTATAAAACAGAGGTTGACACCCCCAAGAGCTAAAACTGAAATGCCCAAAGAGGAGCACTTCGCCCTCTAATCTGTACAAGGTGTGTGAAAAGTGGTGTAAGCTACCTTTCAGCAACTTTCTAGTGGTTAAATAAAATAAATCTCTGACACTCACTGTACAAACAACAAGTAACAATTTATTTATCTAACTCTAACAGTGAACAAATTAACTAAACTATTAACAAACTGAATAAATGCCTTCTAATTATTCCTGAATGAACCATGTTGCAACCCTTTGCTTTCTTGTACCTTGTCCTGCATTTTTTGCTGGCCCTCTTTCAGGACCGAAGAGAACATCTTTGAAATACTCATCAAGGAGGAGATGATGTTTCTTCTGAGATTCAAGATTGCTAGCTGTATTTTAATAAATGAATTGACACTTTGCATAAAAGAATTATTGATACCAGTGCTCTATCTGCCAAAATGATCCCCCAGCAGTGACTGATACCATGTCTTTTGTTTCAGAGCCTTGTGGAAACTTGACTTGTGCCCTTCAATTATTCCTCAGATTGACAAACTGTTGCAGAGCAAATATGAGAGGTCAGCAGTCATTTCATTTCATTTCATTTCATGTGGGATGTGGAGTGTTGTGATGGGGGCGTTGTGATGGGGGCATCAGTACTAGAAGTGGTGGTTCATTTTTATAGTATTGATGACCATGTACTCTTCTCAAATTTGATAAAAATAAAAACTAACTTAAATACTCTAGCAAAAACCACAGTACTGCAATCCCTTCCACTTGTGCATTCTATATGATGTCAAAACTGATTGAAAGAATTGTTTGTTACAGAGTTTGTGACAGTGTGCGTGGATATGCAAAGGGGAGAGAGAATAAAAACGGGGAAACTACAAGCCAGTTAACTTAAGATCTGCCATAGGGAAGATATTAGAAGCTATTGTTAAAGAATTTATAACAGGATACTGGATAAATTCAAGGTAATCAGGCAGGGTCAACCTGGTTTTGTGAAAGGGAAATCATGTTAACCAATCTGTTGGAGTTGAGGTAATATGCAGTGGATAAAGGGCAACAGTGGATGTACTGTACCTACATTCCCAAAAGCATTGGATGAGGTGCTACATCAAAAGTTATTGCTCAAAATAAAAGCTCATGGTGTAGAAGGTGTATATAAGCGTAGGTAGAAGATTGACTGGATAGCAGAAAGCAGAGAGTAAGTATAAATGGGTCTTTTTCAAGTTGACAAGAAGTAATAAGTGTTGTGCCACAGGCATTGGTGCTGGAACCTCAACTGTTTGCAATTTAAATAAATGGCTCAGAGCAAAGGGTATCATTCCCAAATTTGCTGATGTCACAAAGGTTAGTCTGCAGGTACAGCAAGTAACTAGGAAGACTATAGACTGTTATTATTTATTGTGAGGAGAATTTAATACAAAAGTTTGAAGGTTATGCTTCAGTAATACAGGGCACTGGTAGACTGCATCGGGAGTACTGTACATGGTATTGGTTGCCTGATTTAAAGAATGATGTAAATGTATCGGAAGCATTTCAAAGAAGGTTTACCAGACTTTACTACTAGACTAGATCTAGAATGGATACATGGTCTTATGAGGAAAGATTGGACAGCCTAAAGTTGCAGTTGCTGGGGTTTAGAGGTGACTTGATTGAAGCATATAAAATTTAAGGGTCTTGACACGATACGTGTCAAAAACGATTTTCTTTCTCATATGGGAGAACCTGGAACTACTTCCCCTGTTTAAAAAAGAGATTAGGTCAAATTCTCCCTCTGAGGGTTGAGAGTCTTTGGCACTCTCTCCCTGAAAAGGTGGTGGAAGCAGAATCTTTATTTTTCTTTAAAAGAGAGGTGGATAATTCTTGTTGAGCTATGGTTTGAAACATCAGATCATCATGCATGAATATGGATTTGATGTTACAATCAGATTAGCCATGATCTTGTTGAATGGTGGAGCAGCCTTGAAGGGTTGAATGGTTGCCTCCTGCTTCTGATTTGTATGTTCATATGAAACTGATACCTTGAAATGATTGTTGTGCTTTCAGTCTTTGGGTGCTGGTGTGCTTGTAAGTGTGTGAATTGGTGAATGTGTGCAGAAACCAGAGTTTTTCCACAGACAGTCACCTGTCGACACAGTAGAGCAACTGGGTGACATTTGACCATGAATTAAAACCACACGGGAGCATGTTTCTTAGTTGTTGGAGTTAACTGGGAAGAAAATGATGTCGTGTTATATCCCACATGAACTGCACTGGATTGACCTATTTGAAAAATTCATCTCTTGTTTTCAATCCCACTGTTGGCATCAAAAGCTCTGACATTGAGTTGGGTATTTTATGCCATCTGGTGATTTGAATTGAATAGAATATCGCACTCTTAAATTCTTCCTGTGAAATGAATTTGGAATCTGTATCCCATGTTGTCCACCACACACTAAGCTGACAACTCTTCCTGTGTGAAGCTGCGGATATTTGAAGAATGTTGCACTGATGCAACGGGGCTGCTCATCCAAGACTGGTTAATATAGAGTATACACCCCACAATTCGGTCCAGGCTTTCTGATGGTTATTCTAGAGTGCTTGATGCTGACATTTGATGTATGGTAGTCCTACATTTGAGCACAAATATTCTTTCCCTTGAAAAATGTAAAAACAGAATTTTTTTAATCATTTGATGAAATAGCATAAATTTCCAAGATCAAATAAATAAGTAGTCCTTCTCAAGCTTAATTTATGTTTTCAGCTTTGATCACTTTTTCTCCTCTTGTAGCTATGTGCAGACTGGTTATACTTCCCTTAAGTTGATCTTGCAGCGATTTGGACCCTTAATGGCAGACAATCTAGTGACACCACCCTCTATTGGGGTTGACATAACACGTGAAGAAAGGTCAGTGACTGCTGTACACAATATAGATAATGCCATGACTCTTGCCAAATGTTTTGTTTGTTGTCATGTTCAGAGTATCTTAGTTCATACCATTTGTGTGGTAGTCCATTTATGGGAAATGGGTCCACTATCCCTTTACACAATATTATTAGTCTGGGCTGCTTATTGTTAAAGTAGGAACTGTTGATACTGGAGATATTAAGTGCACACAAACAGAAATTTATGGAGAAACTCTTAAGTTCAATGACCCTTCTTTGAAAGTATGTTAACTCGGTTTTCTCTCTCCACAGATGCTGCTAGACTTCCTGAGTTTCTCCATATTTTTGTGTGAACCAGTTCAACTTATTGTTAAACCATCAGTCCACATTACTTAGGGAGGAGAAAGGGATTCATCAGACCAATAAATTTAGCTTGTTTCACCCTTCTGGTAGCATGGCACAGTCCTACTTCACTGCCTTTTCTCTAAACTCCTTAGTACTTCATGAAGTATTGATTTTGTATCTAACTTTTCCACTGGACTTAGTCTGTTAGATTTCCCCTTGTGACCTTTTTATGGGCAAATATTCTTAAATATGCTGTTCATATAATGTACAGGCACACAGACTTGATGGCCAGATTTTCTCCATGAATGACCTAACCTAATTATCTCAGAATTTGCAAATTTGGAGTGAAGTGGAAGAAAGTTAACCAATCCCAAAGGACTTTCTAAGCCTGCTCTTGTGCAGTGGTACTGGTCCTATATCTGAGCCAGGAGGCCAAGGATCAAGTTTCACCTGCTGTAGAGATGTGTAGTAACATGTCAGAACAGGTTGACTGGAAAATATCTAACCTAATCCCATTATCCCTATATGTATTTCTTAAAATAACATTATGATCACTTGCAGCAATAGTTTGTGGCAGAGAAATCATGTTGTAATCATCCCTATACAAATGAATTGCTCCTCATGTCTCAAAAAGGTTTTATATTATTAACATGATAACTGTCAAAAGGATAACTGCACTGTTAACTTCCTGTGGCAATTTAGGTGTGAATACAGCAACTTCATTGGGAGATGTTCTCTCAAAGTTAATGGCAGGGCAACACAAATTGTCCCCCAACCATGGTGGTTCAGTCACGGTTTGCACATTAGTAATAAACCAAGTGTCGTTTACATTTTGGACCTAATTCAATTTTCTCAGTGATTTGTCAAGTTCAAAGGACATTGAGAGCATCTTTTGCTTGTAGAACAAAAAAATGGTGATAGTACATTACAGTTGAATATTTCAGCAAAAACAATAATTTCCTCTCACTAAAGTGGGCAGATGGATCAATCTATCAAACAAAGCCGAAATAAAAATAAGATGCTGGAAATACTCAGGTCTGGCAGCATCTGTGGAAATAGTTGATGCTTTTGAAATCTGAAACTTTTGTTAAGCAGAGGTATTAAGGCAGATGTCTACCGATGAGCCATGATCTCACTGAATTGCCACCTCCTGTTGATATGTTAATTTCAACTTGTATGCTGCTAAACTTGTTCAGTATTTCCAGAACTTTTAGAAAAAGAGGAAAGTGAAACAAACTGAAAATTGTTTAAATCTTAGTGCTTTGATTTCTTTTCCCCTTCCTTTCTCAGGCACCAGAAATGTAAGCTCTGTTATAAGCAGTTAAAAAACCTGCTTCCGATACTTCAGAGTAAAGCAGGATTGCCCGGCCGTCAAGGCAGCGCTTTTCGTGAACTGCAACTTCTGATGGCAGCTTTTGAATGACCAGGTTCTCTGATGATTTGACATCCTGTTGCAGATGCTGCCAACAAATGATCCAAAGTCCAAGTTCTTTCCAAATGGATTACATTTAAGTTCACTGAAGTCTAGAATTTTGAACATGAATTGGCCAAGGTGCGCCTTGAATGTTTTTGTTGTAATGCTGTAGAGATTTAGTTCTTCCCTCTCAGTATTTATGACAGAAGAGCAAAGGAAACTGATTCCTTCAATTACCTGCCTGTTAGTCAGTGTGTCAGGAATAGAGATTGTAGTGACATGTTTTGCATAGTTAACATGTTACAAAGTAAGTATCTTTGTTTTCCATAAATTGAATTTCACTTCAACCTCACTGGCACTACTGATTACTACAAAAGTTATTGTGTCTGTGGCCTTTGGTCTGCAGCTAAATGGTGAGATCCATCTGCCTTTTGGTTTAAATATAATCAGAACACATTGGGATTTTCTCCTTGAACTTGTAGCTGCTATGAAACAGGATCTACTGTTAAGACCTTTTTTGCTCTTTGTGTTGTAATGGATCTTGTATTGAAGTTACTTTGTAAATGCTATGAACTGTCCACTGGTAATTTCAAGAGTAAGTTGTTCTTGCTGTTAACTTTACTTGTTGAGGATTGCTCATTTTTAATCTTTCCTCCTGATCTGTGATTAATACTGGCATTGGAGGTCTTTTCCTCTTACTTCAGATTTTAAAAAAAATCCTGACCTCAAATAGACAGTTCCTGTTGTGCTTTTTAACAAAATTTGGCCTCCCAGACCTTGTTAAAGTAACCTGTGAAATGTTTGGGGCTCTCGAACACTGAACAGGTATATTGCAACAAGCTACCTTGGTGGCCTTGTGAGCTCAACTGTATTTGAGAATATGTCTCCTGGATACTCATTCAATAACTCACTAGTTATTGGTACTTTTTTTGGGAAATGCAACAGGGCAATGCAAGATCAGTTGATCTTTACTCTGTCCTCCGAGAATAGTATTGCACTAAACAAGCTGTATACTTCATATTCTGGGTCTGGAGACAGAATCATTATTTAACACCAAGTCTTATCAAATTCTATTTAAAAGTTCAGTTTGTGCTTCAGTGTCCGTGCTATGTATAGATGCTGTTATTTTCTATGTACATTTTTTAACTGACTTCAATAAAAAAAGTGATTTGAAAGGCTCAAACAGCATCTTTGCCTTATCTAAACTGTTCCCCTAGATACAGAAAGAAAAATGTACAGTTTAGTCTTGCAATACAGTTCATTCACATACTAAACAATTTACTGAGATAAGCACAAACTACAGTATTTTTTAAAAAATTTATTTGAAATTCAAGAGGCAGGCAACACATTGGATACTTTTGACATTACATTATTGAGAATCTGATCATTGCTCAAAGGACCAAAATGGCCCACCAAAAGTGTTAATACTAAATTTCTGAACACACTGTCACCCTGAGCATAATGAACATTCATTACCAAAACAGACTGATTTGCCTGAGTAACACCAGTGCTGGAAGTTCTCTTTCTGGGCTTCCCTGCTCATTCCCATCCAAGTACTAATATCTCATAACAACATTAAAGACACTAAACTGTAAAACAAGACAGTGCATGCTAAGCATAACAGAAACAAGCTGCCTTAGACAGCAAAACTTTTCCATCTGGAAATTGCATATTGGAACAACTATGTACATTAAATTTAAAAACACTCTGAACTTCAGAGACACGTCAGTTCTCAACAGATTGACTTTGACTTTACATCAAGACAAGTACTCTTACAACAGGATCTTACGCAGATTTTACACATCCGAATGGGATGTGTAAAGAAAACCGCTTTGGCAAGAAAATAAAAATCAGGTCCAGTGTCCTCAGCCTGCAACACTGATTTGTGAAGCTTGTGTGGTTTAGGATCCAAAATGAGAGCATCCTTTGTGGAACAGTAAAGCAGCTTTTGAAAACAAGTTATGGAAAAATATTCTTTGGGTTTATGAGACTTTTGTTCATTATTTATTAAATAAATATAACTTGCTAAGGGAGAAACTGCAGATTTAAAGAGGTCATACTAACTCAATTAAAAAGTGAGCTGGAAATTTCTAACATTCTCCATTGATCCTATTCCAAAGATCTAAATTATTTTGATAATAGTAAGATTCATTTCTTACCTCATTATTCCATCTCAACACATCACTTCAGTCCTCTTCCAAGGATGGAGACTCTTGAATTAATCTCCAGTTCTTGCCCTGACTGGTCACCCTGTACAGGTTAATCTCAGGGTAGCAGTGAGGTTTATCTTGAACACTTGGGGGAAATAAAGGTAATTCTGAACTATTTTCTTCCAGAGACACTGATGCAAACAATCTGCATCATCTTCTCCATGTGGCATTAGGATGGAGGTGGGAAGAGGAATGGAGAAAAGGCACCAATGCTTTTAAATCGTGGCATTCCTAACAGTCTCCCCAATTTTTGTACACAATCAATGCGCTCAACACCTCAGCGTAACCTTGAATTGTATACGTAACACACTGGCTCGACCCTTGACAGCAAACGGCCAAAGTTTGCAGGACAAAGGTTAATGGCAGTGAACAGATTTAATGTAAAATAAAAAGGACAATGTATTTGAACTGGAACTCATTGAACACCAACATTTGGATATCAAATGACAGGTTTAAAAAAGGTAGACAATATAAAAATTTTTATATATATAAAAAATAAGTAATGAACTCTTGTGTGTCATCTTTTTAAAACAGGCTGTATATAAATGTACAGACATTGGCCTATAATCTGGATTGTGTTGAGGTGCTCAGCTTTGGGACAGGCCACCAGTCCCTGGTTTTCCACTACTCCAGGTGACCTCAGAGTGCAGGCAGTGCAGCTGGTCGATGGTTTACTTCACCTAAACAAGAATGTGTATAGATTAGCAGAATGACATCCAATACATTAAGGAATATAAAAGTTAAACAAAGCTTAGCAATATATTAAATGTCTACTAAAACTAATACTCAACACCCTAAACTAAGAGGTTCTATATTGGCTTTGCATAAGAGACAAAAATACTTAACAACTCTTGGGTTCTATTTTCCTTCTAGTGCAGATCTAAGAGACCCCAGAAGAAAACGTGTTGTCAGCATGGAGAAGTAGATTTACTAACACAGAATACTGGATCTGACTTCTCTTCTGCAGGAAACTAAAAATGAAGCTTGGATAACATAGGATGTTGTTGGAGGTGGGGGGGGGGGTGCAATAAAAAAGGTGCTGTGCTGCACAAAGAGGATCCCAACCAGGCGTAGAGGAGACACTGTTTTGAATCACCCATACTGCCCCAGAGAAGGTGTTAGTGAGCCACCTTCATGAACCACTGCAGTTCATGTGGTCTAACAGCATTGTTAGCAACAGAATTCTTAGAGTTTTGGATCCAGTATCAGTGAGCCTGTGGTAGGGGAAGGCAGTGGCAGTGACAGTGACATATGGCAAAGGTTTGCACAGTCACTACTCTACAATTTGTCCAGCTGTTTTCACAATTGCAAATACATTTCCCACAAGAAGAATGGACATCTCATGCCAAGACAGCAAGACAAGTGTTGATAGATCCTGCACAGACATCATATCTAACCAGTCATCATTGCTATAGCAGCTGTGTTGTTTGTAGATACTACTCATAAAAAAAGGTGTAGATTAGGGCTGGAGGCAGTGTCCTTGCCTCTGAATTTAAAGGCCCAAGTTCAAGTCCTACCTGTTCCAGAGATGTATCATAACATTTCTGAACAGGTTAATTAAAAAAATATCTAAACCTTTAGAGGAGTCTAGAAAAAAAGTCAGTTCCAGTATTCTGTGCTCGTAAATCCATTTCTCCTTGCTGACATTTTTTCTTCTGGGGTCTCTTGGAGCTGTAATTTATTAAGAGTTGTATGTGATACGTATATAGGCTAAACTAACCTCAGACTATATTTAGAAGGCATCCCAAGAAGGCACTCTTTCTCCACATCTAAACATAGTATTTTTTTTAAGAATGGAAACAAAAGGAGGAAGACAAGATCCTCCTCCTTCCACTTCCTTAGAACAATAAATGGGGAAACAATAGCGCGAGAGAGAGACAGCATGAGCGAGCGCATGCAAGGACATTTCTACTACCTCCTCTTCTTTGTGACATTGGATATTTACCAAATCTATTTCACAAGCATCTATTGAAGGGAAAGGAAAGAACGGACAGCATAATTAGAATAGCGTAAGCCCATCTGATGGGGGAGATGACACTTCAAAACATTTAACTCATAGGACAGAGGTTTAGCACCAAAATGCAGCTTGCTCCAAGGCTGCTTTCCTCTTCCTCAAACTGATCCTGTAATATCAACCATCCAGCATTTATGCTGAGGACTCACTTTTCCTCCAATCAGGATAACAGATCAGAATCTGTTGAAGCACATGGATCTAATTCACAATGTGATCCATACCAAGGTCAAGTGAGCCTCTTTGATAAGCAAAAAGATTAGCTTGCATGATTTATTAGAATATAACCTATGAGTAGGCAATTCAGGCACTCAAGCCTGCTCTACCATTTATTACGATTGTGGCTGATCTCATTGTCACCTCAACTCCATTTTCTTCAGCTTGTTCTCCATAACCTATCACGGATTAAAAATTTGTCCATCTCCTATAATTGAATCAATCAATCTCCTGATGCCCAGCTCACTCTGCATAGTAAATGGTGGGATAGTGAATTTCCATATAGTTGGAGACATATTCATTCCAATTTTAAATAATTGAGGTAACTCCTTTCATTAAAAAGCTATTGCAATCTAATTCACATTCATACTTGTTAGAGAACTGAACAGATGGAGTAGACAGACTGCTGACATTACTAATTCAACTCAAGTGTAACTGTTTCTCTTGTCCCAAGGTGGGCAGTGAAGGGAAATATAAAATCCCTCTTCAAAATAGAATAAGTCAAACAATCTATTCCAATCCTACATTTAAGGGAAAATGACAACAATAAATATTGTGTGTCTGAAGACCTATGGTTTCTGGGAATCTCCAACGTGACTGGCTGACTGTGATTATCTCAGTGTGTGGGAGATATATTTGAGAATTAGACCAGGATCCTGGAACTGGTTGTGTTGGGACCTCATCTGGTTTGCAGCATAGCACTTTTATACTGACATAACAGAGCATTGCCTCAATGTGGATTGAAACTGATCACCATCCTATCTAACACATATATTCCATGTTGTCTATGATAATGGTTTAAACAAGTTGCATCCATTTCCATACCTGATGCCATTAGTCGTCTTTTCCCTGCTGTGGTTTTTCCCACTACGCTCCCTCCTGAATGGCTGATATTAAGCCGTCCTTGTTGGGCAGCTGCAGACGGGGTCTCTGACTGTGATCAAAAATACACAGTCAGATTTTGAGGTATCCTATTCCCCACGTGAAACATACTCTCAAGGCAATCACTAGCAACTAGGATCCTGTGCTGCACCAGTACACTGAGCATCACTGGCAATATAGCATACTACATGACACGCTATTGAATATTTTGTTTGAAATGAATGGATTTAACTGATAAGTGAATGGTTGCTTCCTGATCTGAAGTGTTAAGAAAGCTGTGTTGCAGGCGTTACCTTGACCTGCCACTTTCACACAGGTAATGGATTGTATCTTGGAAGACTAAGCAGCATGAAAAAGTAAAGGAAACTTTTTTTTAAACTAACCATTTCTAATGAGTTGAAGTTTGCCATCTCTATGAGGATAAGAATATGTAAAAATATACGAAAAATGTTGATGGTTGGGTGGGGGGGGTGGGAGGGAGGGAATGCAATAAAAACAAATTAATTAAAAAATCAGTGCTACAAAAGAGAAAAGAATAGTTTTTCCATTTATGCCAATTTCAGATTCAGCATATCAATGCAAATCAAAAATTCTGATGGGGAATGAAATTTCACTTCAAGGACAGTTAAGAATGGGTGATAAATGCTGACCCAGCTAGTGAACCCCATGTCCCACGAACAAATAAACTATCCGCTCATATTTGGTGGACTTTACTTGGGAAGGATAAGTGAGCGATGTGTGTGCACTCCACAAATAGTGCTGGAACAACCCACGGATTGAGTTCAAGAGAAATCCAGCAATTTTAGCAGGCTTGATGCTGAAGGTATCTAACCAAAGCAGGAGGAGGAGTGTGATCTCAGAATG